GAATTTATGATTGGAATATTAATTAATTGAGGTTGGTTATTCTACTACTTCATCTGTATATAATTATTTGTCCACTTTTTAATTGACACACCTATTAAGAAAGTAATGAATGACATAGTGAGTTTACCATTTTACCCCTATTAATTATGAAGTGAATGAAAAGTTCTACATTTTTCAAAGTAATTAATCATTTAATTGAGGGTATAATAGGTAAAAAAAAAATGTCCTTTCTTGATTTGTCAAATGGACAAGTAATTAGGAACAACTATAAAAGGAAAAGTGGACAAATAATTAGGAACAGAGGGAATATAATTCAATATTCACAATTGGATCTAATCATGACCTGAACCTTAATTAATACGGAGACGGGCCTAAAATGCCCCTCAAGTATTTGAATTGGTACAAAACTACCCTTCATCCACCTATTGGCCCTAAAATACCCCTGACGTCCACCTTTCGACTAAAAAATACCCTTATGTCTAACGGATCACACTCATTAGGTGGATGGAGGGTAATATTGTACCGAATCTCGTAGTTTAAGGGAATTTTAGGCCCTTTTCCGTTAAAATAATTTGAAATTACTTAATATATAAGCTCACATAATTTACTTGATTTTGAATTTCATAGTAAATTTAAAATGATAAAAAGGTTAGACATCTATTTGGATCTTGTCCACAATTTTATTTTTTTTATTTATGACAAACAAGAGAGGAAAAAAGGAGGAAAATAACGATGCATTCATATAGAAATAATTAGTTCAATAAAAGATGACTTAATCAAGCAAATATGTACAAATATTACATTTTTTTGTGTGTACCCAAAATTAAAAATTAAAAAATAAAAACAATCATGTCTTTTATCCCCACCCTCATCCCATCATGACACTAAGATTAACTAAAAGAAGGAAATATAAATATGTGAGTTCATTTTAAGTTTTCGTTTCGGATATCTTAATTAAGAATAAGAGATTAAAATAAGGAATAAAAGAGAAAATGAACAAGACATTTGGATAATTGAGAGAAAATTTTATATTCTTGAAAATAATAATATTTTTAGATGGACAATCAGTCGGGGTAAATATGGATTTTAGTTGGATCCCCATTTATCAGTTGGGTTACGTTATAATAAATTGGGATTGATTTAAAATAGGCCACTAGGAAGATATCATGAAATTATTTTTTCAATATTATTTTCAAGTGTATCGGGTCAAAATATGAATCATAAGTGGTTTTATAGAAAAATAGAATTTTTAAAAATATCATTTTTATTATTTATTTGAGAAGGGTTTCAATTTGGACCAATCACATTAAGCAATATAATAAATAAATACTTATTAATTTTACTTTAAGGGAGCTATTAAAAATAAGGGCAAATATGAGTCAAATGATAACATCAAGGATATTTTTGAGCCGAAAGGTGGACGTCAGGGGTATTTTAGAGCCGATAGGTGGATGGAGGGTAATTTTGTACCAATTCAAATACTTGAGGGGTATTTTAGACCCTTCTCCGTAATTAATATTCTACTATTGTGTGGGGATGATATAACCCCTACATGGCCCTATTTATTAGGTACTTCTTCGGTTTTAAAAAAAATGTGAAATGATTCAATAGACCTTTATAATTGTAAGAGTTTGTATCCGAATTCTTTTACTTGTTTATTTGTCAAGTGAATTCTTAAACTCAATTAAAATGAGATTTTTAAAACCCTCCAACAATAATTATTTCATAAATGACATGTCATAATTATTTCATAACTATTTTACAATTATTAATCAAAAATGTTATCCTAAAATTATTAATAAAAAATGTTACTCCATAAAATACAAAAAATAAAAATAAAATTATTTTAAAAAATAAAATAAAATAATGATTTCTCCCACCTTTTCTCCACCTCCCTCAACCCTCTAGGCAACAACCACCATTAACACCATCTCCATTATCTTTCATTTTTTTCCAAACTGTCATTTTCTATGGTTGTGACGAGGTTCTTCAAGTTTTTAAAGATCATAGTTCGATTTTTCTTAAAGTTTTCATCATTCGCAACTCTCAATTGTATTTTTTATCAGCGTCTACATCCATCCTTTGAACCACCATAAATTCCTTTTCTCCATTGATGCCAATGAATCATCATTAAGATACGTCAATATCATAATATTTGTACATAATTTCATTTTACATAATTTCATTTTACATAATTTCACAAAGATATCGAACAATATCTTTTCATCCTTAAAGACTATTGAATCTTCTCACCTTATGAGTTGTAAATTACCTAAAATATAAGAAGAAAACACAGATCTATAACAACACCACATTTTGTTTATCTAGAAAGAAAGAAAATATGAAAAAAAAGGAAAAAAAATTGAAGAAGGTTGGGAAGGGGAGAAAGAGAGAAATAAGGGTTGGATGGGGAACAAGACACACATAATTAGAAAAAGAAAAAAGAATGGAGTGGGGTGGGGTAGGAAAAGAAGAAAGAAGTGGGAAAAAAAATTTATTTACAATTTTCTTATTTTTGGTCTTATTTAAAAATTAATAATTATTTTTAGTCGAAATTTTGATATTCATGCTCATTCAACACGTGAAATCACGTGTTTGTGCCAACTTAATAATTGAGTTTCCATGCAAGCTTGATCAATGATAACTCAGAAGAGCTTAAAATATCATTGAGTTTAAGGGCTTAGTTGACAAAATGTCAAGTAAAATAATTTAGAATATAAACTCATACCTAATAGTTCATCAGACTATTTCACCAAAAAAAAGACCACTTAGTTTAACTTACACAAAATTTTAAAAAATAAAAAAGACTTTTTATCACATGGAAAATTGAAACTAAATTGTCATAAAATAAAATGAAAGAGGTCATATATTTTAATTGAGGAGTACTAATTATTTTGTCCAACTAGACAGATGAAAAAGATTATTATCTTTAAATGTGACTTTTCGTTAGTTTCTTTTTTTTCATGATTTTCGTCAAAATTAATTGTTTAGGTTCGTAAATACTCAATGGAAAATAAAAATATTGTAATTTTTAACAAATTTAAAGGAATAAAATTATTCGGTGTATATAAAAAAAGGGAATTATTTTGTACTTGCCATTGAAAATACGGGGCCAATTTTGTCATTTCGTCCTTATCAACAGTTCGTCAACTGATAGGCTTATCTTTTGCACTCTCTTCCACAGATAACAGATGAAGAAACTAAAAACTGCTGTTTCTTGAAATTCTTGATTCTTGATACGGATAAACTTTGCTACTTTTTATATGTTCTCTACTTTGATACACTAATATTTTGTGGTTTTGGGTATTCTTTTTTTTTTTTCTTCCGGGTGTCTCTTTATTCTCAATTTCAGTGGTGATGTTTTCAAAATCCCAATTTTGGCTAATGCTTTAACTGGTATTGAAAGTTACTGATGGCATCGTCAGCCGCTTTCAATGGTCCAATTCTTGTTTCTGCCTTTAATAAGAGTAGCCATGCGCCTACTTCTTCCAGGCAAGTTTATTGCTCCTGTTTTCTTTACTTTAGTGTTGTGTGAGTATTACAGACTAATCTCCAAGATAAAGTTTTTCACTGAAAAAGGTGTGATGTTGGGCTTTGTTTAGTTTATTTGTCATACTCCCTACAATTTTAATTTGTTTGTCTTTGTACGGAATAAAGAAAGACTTTTGAATTTCATGTATGTACCAAATTACTTTTTAATCTCATGGTCTTAAATGTGTAAAGTTTAAATTAAAAAGTTGCAAAAAAAAAAAAAAAAAAGGTAAAGAGGCATTCTCTCGTAAACGGACTAAAAAAAAAAGAAAATAAGGAAAACAAATTGAAATGGAGGAAGTAGGAAAATGTGGGATTGGTGTATCTTGTATGTTTCATTTGAAAGATATATGTGATGCACTATATGTTAGTAATATTTTTAATAATCGTGGTGTTTGAGCCAACTTGCTCGCATCTCGACTAATTTCACTGGTAGTTACTACCTCCCACTAGTGCAAGTACCGGGTAAATCTGTCCATCAAGGTTTGGATAAATGGGAAGAAATCACCTGGTATGTTTACTGTGGGTTTTTTTTATGTGAGACCTCATTGTTCTGAATTCACTTTATTGACCACTAGTCTATACCTTGGGATTGAGTCAAGAAGCACTTGACTCTAAATGTAATTGTCATTTTCTAAATAATTAGTTCCAGAGCTGGAGATGCTACTCGTTTACCTGTAACAAGCATGCTTAAAACATTAATGGAGTGGGGACTCCACACCCTGTTTGGTACACCAGCAAATAATTTTTATGGGGAATTATTTATTAACATAGGTATGGCTGAAACAGCGAATATGTTTTAGACTAGTATGTGATCAATATTTTTTCATATGCAAAAATGGAGGATCACTGTCTTTGGCTACTCAACTTCAGGAAATGTCAAAATGCATGAGGTGAATACATTTTGTGGATATGTTTAAACATAAATGCAATCGTGTCTATCCACATTAGTACACATGAATGCAGGGCATGTAACCGTAGGAAATATCAAAATTCATGAAATGAATCTGTTCTGTGGATATATTTGCTTATGTGTAGCTTCAACACATTATGTTTTATTCATTCAATGGGGGAATGTGTTGCACTTTACACTAATGCTACCTAATGCCTATAAACCTCCGTGAAGTAAGCCATTGCAAAATGTTGTTATCTTATTAGTCAAATACTGCCTCTCAAATTCTCAATGGGAATTCATTTTGAAAAAAAAATGAATTATTTGATACCTTCAAGTTGTGCTGTTCTTAGTAATGGAAAGAATGAATGCTTCCTTTCATTTCATTTCCTTCTGTAGCTTATTAAATATTTAGCTGTTTAGATAGTTGAATTTGCAAATGCTAGAAAATGTTTGCTTGTCATTTGATTGCTGAACATCCCAAAGATGATGATCATCTTTGGGCTTGATTTTTGAATAGTTACCACAATGTCTGAAAACAATTTAAGTTCAATCCCTGATCAGCAATTGAATCTTTTCTGACCTTGACATTATGCGGTTTGACAGGAATTTTATCTTTAGGACTTGTTCACTACCATCACATGTCACACAAAGATCAATCTGCTGCTTCCAAAGCACAGGAAGATCCAGCAGTGTTATTAACTTAAGATGGAAAGAAGTCAGGCAATGGCAATTAAGCCGGAGAGGTTTCTTCATGTGTAAAGTGCAGCAACATGATGCTACCTCTGAGGAAAATGAAGAAAATATCTCACAAGCTACTTTGATATGGAGGGCAATCAAACTGCCAATATACTCTGTAGCCTTAGTTCCTCTAACTGTAAGTTTTGATGTTATCAACTGTAGAGTCTCCTTTCGAGTTTTAACATTTTCAACCAGATATGTTGTTTGAATTTTGGATATAAACCTATGTGAATGGCATAATGTGAAGGTAAAACCTAACTAGTTTCTTATGTTTATTGAGATTCAATGCAAGCAATCATTACGAGTGCTAGTCTTGTGAAACCAATCTATACAAAGGCTAACTGTGGCTACTTGTTAAATATGTTAGCTTAAATTACCTAGCAAGAAAAATGTGGTGGATTTTTTATAATATTTGTTGAGAAGTTTTATTTGCAGATTGGATATGAGGCAGAATCGCCATAGTAAATAAACTAAATAAGTTAGCTAGACCTATAACTGCAACTAGACAACTACTGTAAATGGTAATAAATTGAACAGCCTGGACTGTCGTCAGGAACAGGTAAACTTAAATATGTGAGAGTGATGGTGATTACTAGATAGGCAAGAAATTATGTATTCCATTGAAATAGCATGATCATGTTGCTCAAAAGATTGGCAAGAAAAAGAAGACAACTAGGAGGATGTCATTGTTAGGTCGTTTTTGGCTTTATTTGGAAAAACAGAATTAGGAGATTGTTCCATTAAAGCGAGAGTGATGTTAGGCTTATAAAAAAATCACTTCTATTCATTTATCTTTAGTGTAAAGAGAGAATTCCCTTTTATACATAAAAGTTTGATTGTGAGTTTAGTTGAGCAAAAAATCCATTTTGTTCTTATTTCTTGAAGTCCATCTTGGTTTGGTGTTAGTGGTTTTCACTTGATCTAGCTAAAGAGATTTCCAAATTTACCTTTGGTTTTGTTGTTGTGGTGAATAATTATAGTAAAACCGTCTATGCTTATACTGAACAGATTTTGCAATATCATTCCACTAAAATCTCACTGTTCTTTTGGTACTCATGAATAGGTGGGGAGTGCAGCTGCTTATTTGCAGACAGGCCTCTTTTCTGCTAGGCGTTATTTTATGCTGTTGGCATCTTCAGTTTTTATCATCACTTGGCTTAATTTAAGGTCTGTGTTTTACTGTCTTTGGGAATTCTATCTACTACTTGATCATGGTGGCAAGGTGGAAATACTTTGATGTGCTTTCACCATCTAGTCAAAGTTGTCTAGTGCAAGATGCACTTGATTGAATGACATTTAGATACGATCAAATCCTCTTCAATATTCAGCACTTGATTGAATGACATTTGTTGCAACAATTAACGAATAAGGATAGGGGTAGGACTTTTATATTAGAGGGGTTAGTTCTTGAAAATCTTGTTTTCTTCTCTAGTCCTCTGCTTCTTTTCCCCCTTTCTTTTCATTTACTTTCATTACATTTTCTTTTCTCTTCTACCCTTAAGTGTAACTCCATGTTGCCTTGGTTAAGAATTGTATATTTTGAGATTGTTTCTGAACAGATGAGAGAGATATTTGGGCTAACTTGGTAGATGGAAGTGGTTAAGCATCAAACCCACTGTTTTAAAACCTCGTGCCACCTCAACTTATTTAACGGGGTACCTACTATCTCCCACCAACTCAAGTACTAGGCAATTCTGCCCACCAAGGCTTTGATAAATAGGAAAAAATCACCTAGTATTTGCCTCCGTTGGGATTTGAACATGAGACCTTATGGTTCTCAACCCACTTATTGACCGCTAGCCAACCCTTGACATTGTCTTGGTGCACTGTAATAGGAATAATTCTGATTTGTTTTAAAAAGATTGTATTTCATTATAATGCATGTGGCTTTATTTTTTATGGTTATGTTATAAGTAAGGACTATAATGTCCTTGTTAAACATCTTGCACTCTATATCAATATCTCTGTAATCTGGGCAGCAACGACGTTTATGATTTTGACACAGGAGCTGATAAGGACAAGAAAGAGTCAGTTGTGAACATTGTTGGCAGGTAAAAATTTCTACCGCTGCCATGGCAATCGCATTACTATTTTGTTTTGTTTCGTTTTTTTTTTATTTTTTTTTATTTTAATCTTACTTATATTGAATAGGATGATGTACCTTAATTTTCTGAAAATTAAGTGCATGGCTGTGTATATTGAGCTATTAATTCTTATGCTTGAAATCATTGTCATTGAATACATGAAGGGGGCAGGATAACCTGTATATTGACCATCCTTCAGTCAGACTGCTATTTATCATAGTTACTGGATTATAGGTACAAGCTAGATAAGTCAATAACCTGTCTCAAGTATGTCCTAGAGTCTACTCTTTTGCTGACTAAAAGTATGTGTCAACTAAAATGTTACCTTTCTAAAAAATAAATAAAGAGGATGTATCAACTAAAGTCACTCTTTCTCAGACTACCTCCATATTTCAGTTTGTGAATATTAAGTTCCTGTGACTTTTCCTGTATAAGGTTGCCTTAACAATGTGGTCATGCAATGGCCTTATATTAATTTGTTTGGAATTACAGTTTTAAGGTTGACTCACTTTGCTTTGTAATCTTGGTGTAAGCCGCACAGGAACATTCATTGCTGCTTGCTTGTTACTTGCCCTTGGTTTCTTGGGGCTTACTTATACATCTGTGGAGGCTGCAAATCTACGTGCTATATTACTATTAGCTTCTGCAATTACTTGTGGTTACATGTATCAGGTAATTCAAATAATTTAGTCCAATGGAATCTTCTATACTTCTGATCCTGCATATATTGCTCCATAAGCAACATTTATTATTCTGGTTAGCATAGGAAATTCAACATCTTAATTGAAGTGGCGAAGATCCTCTTTATAAATGGTTCTTTCTTATAACCCCGCTAATTGCTACAATGCTTGGAAATCGAATTTTCTTCTAAAAAAATCTCTAATCCAAGTGCAATCAATCAATCCATCATTGTCTCAATCTCAATTTCCCATTGGGATTAAGAAGTAGTCAGACTTCTTGAACTTCAATTTCTCTTTTCCCTGATCCTACTTTGCTCTTTCTCCCTCAGCTGTATCTGTTCAAAGTTTCCATCAATGGAGCTTGCTTAATACCAACTATTTTCTTTAAAAAAAGAAAAATAACTTCAGCAGTTTCTATTACAGCACCTGTCTTGTCCTCTTGTTCTCCATGCTAAACTACAAAGATCTTATTTTAATGTTTTTAATATTAAATTAGTGGGCTTCTGTGCTAATCTCTCTCTCTCTCTCTCTCCCCCCCCCCCCCCCCCTCTCTCTATGTCGTATGGGAGATTTATGAGTAATTTCAGGTGTTTATTGTCTCTCTTTCCCCTCAATATGTAAATAATTGGATTCCGTTGCTTCTAACAAACTGTCTTGTAGTGCCCGCCGTTTCGGTTAAGTTACCAAGGTCTGGGGGAACCCTTGTGCTTTGCTGCATTTGGTCCTTTTGCTACGACTGCCTTTTACTTGCTTCAAAGCAGCACCAGGTTTGTTTTATTATTAATACCCATATAATGAAGGTTTTTGCACATAACTAAATCTAGTCTAATATGCATTTCAGTGAGCTCCCAATCACATATACAACACTTTCAGCATCAGCACTTGTTGGTTTCACAACATCACTTATCCTGTTCTGTAGTCATTTCCACCAGGTAATAAGGTCTCCTTACCTTCCCTGACTCCATCATTGTGGGAAATAATTTGTTATTAACCGTTATTTTACCAGTACTTGCAACTCATTCATCTGATACAAAATTCAGGTAGAAGGGGATAAGGCCGTGGGAAAGTTTTCTCCACTGGTAAGTACACCTAGGTCAGACATCAAAAGTTCAAGTAGAAATGGAAGAACTAGTGGTCACTTGTATTTTTGCCTCTGAGTTCAGGTTAGGCTTGGTACAGGAGCTGGTTCTAGAGTTGTAAAAGTGGGTGTGGCAACACTCTATTCAGGGATGCTTCTTCTTGGTTTCACTCAAACACTTCCATTTACATGCATTGTAAGTCTTTATATGGTTTCTTAATGTGGTTACAATAATTACCAATGAAAAATTTCATTTTCTGTTTATCTGCGACGTACATGTTTTGGGAAGCTTTTGTTCATTTGGTTTTAACCAGAAACAATTTCCTGAACTTGTAGTCACCAAAGAAGTTTACTAAGTTGTGATAAACCTGTTATGGATTTTGTGTTGGCGATTTTAATGTTATTTTTTTAACCTTCAAATTCTGGATACTTGGATATGCTCCACTATCTAATCCAGTATCAATTTCTTCCAGATTCTTTGTGCTTTAACAATACCAATGGGAAAACTCGTAGTTAGCTATGTGGAGAAGAACCATAAGGTGAGTGAAGATTTTGTTTTATTCTTCCACTAAAACATCATCTTGGTCATTGTTGGGGTAATGTTGGAGAAATAGAAAATGCAAATGTATATCCTCCTCTGACTTATATCTACTTTGCTCTCCCTTTGGGCAATCAATGTTCATTCGAGTCATGATTTTGAACTTTAATATTTTAGGACAAATCAAAGATCTTTATGGCAAAGTATTACTGTGTGAGACTTCATGCTCTATTTGGAGTGGCTCTGGCTGCTGGCTTGGTAGCAGCTAAAATGGTTGCTAGATATCCTGTTCCAAAACCAATATTCTGAATCATAGAATTCATCAGGTTAGGCTTTTCGTGGTTAGTGAAGTATGAATATAGCATTTACGTGAGAAATGAGAACGACTTTTTCCTGATTTAGTGGCTACGTCTGATCTCAGGAATACACATTGTCGCTGAGAGACCTGAAAGCATCAAGGAGCAATTTTTTTTCAAACTCAGGCTCTTTTGAATGCAAATTACAAGATGAACTTTCTACAGAAGGGAATGGAGAAAAGATTCAAAGCTCTTGGCAATAGCCTGCCTGCACTGTGTTCTCGATCCAATGGACATTGGATTACTTGAACTGCCCTTAGTTCACTAAATTTCCAAAATTCCTTTGAGCACTGAGAAGAACTTTCAAGAAATGCATGAATGTGATGCATCAACAAATCAGTGTTTCCTGATGTACTTATTGACAATTAATTAATTAATAATTCTTTCTCCATGTTTTGTCGTACGTCTTCCCTCATATAGTAAGAGGTTACATCCTGTTTGCCTAATGGTGACTGATTTTGCCTGTAAAATTGATATTAAAAAATAATGTCAATAAAAAAGATATACAACACTATTATAAGAAAGGGGTTAATTACATGGGGATTTTCCTGGGGATTAGTATGAAAATTTGCAAGAAAATAAGTTTCATGCGGATTTTCATACTAATCCCTAGGAAAATCCCCACGTAATTCACATTTTTCTTGTAGTGCAACACTTCTAGGTTTTAGGTCTCGATTTTTCTATTGATTAAAGTAATTACACTGGTTGATTAAATCAAAACTATTTATTTTACATAATATTGGAAAGTAACATGTGCAGAGAAGATTCATATAACTAACCCAACTTGCTCGGAAAAGGGGCATAGTTGTTTATTTGTAAAATCATTGGACTTTTCGACTGCAAAACAGACTTTGAAATCGTTGATAGGAGACTCCGCCAGTCTCAGGTTTTCAATCAAGTTGGACTTAATTACAAGACAAATTTCAAACAGACAAAAATCTGACCCAGTATACTGTCATCTTAATTTCTATAGCTTCTACAACTGCAGGACTATCAGTAAGTTCATCCATTGGAATCTTGCTTCCAGAAAGTAAGTTTGCACCACAGCCTGGATAATTGCCAATTCAGCCTAATACTGGTTTCTGACCAAAGTTTTATATTGCTGCTGGTATCAGGGACATCCAGTATTACTGACCAGGTTCCAGGAATAAGCCCTCTCATTTATGCCACGAGTTGTATGATCCAACTGAGCACCAAGAAATGTGTGTTTATCAGCTTGGGTCGCAGCTCATGTCGAGAACATGAGAACGCCGAAGGATCACATATACTGCTGTTACTTGGTGCTTCATGTGCACATGCACAGTTGAGAATGTGGACGTTACATTGCAAAAGTGGCAACACAGCTATAGTGAGAGTGCTGAATTGGTTGGGAATACAGTGTACTATGTCAGGCACAATGAAGAAAGTTGCACAGCCCTAGGGAAGAAGGAAGAAGAGATGTAGGGATACGACAACAACAAACCCAGAAAGTGGGGTGATAAATGAAGAAGAGATGTAGCTATAAATTCAAAAAGAAAAATCTTTTTTTTTTTGAGATGGTAAATTAAACAGAAATGTTATAAAATGTCATGTACTCCTCACCCCAAACAATTGTATGGCTATTAAAAAAAATTGCTCATACGGTTTTTACTTATCCAAACTTGTGCTTCCAAGTTCCAACCTTTGAAAATGAATGATACAGAAAATTCTATCTTGATTTGAATGTGTGATCCCAATTTATTGGTTTAAATACCTTGGGCACCAAGAAAGGAGCTTGATCGCAGCTCGGGTCCAGTGCTGACAGCTGAGAACATGAGAATGCGAAGGATCATATATGTCAGGTGTCACCTGGGGCTTCATGTGCAAATTCACAGTTGAGAATGTGGGCTACTTCCTGTAACATTGCAAAGTGGCAATACAACTGCGGTGAGAGTGTTGAGTTGGTTAAGAATACAGTGTATGATGCCAGGCACAATGAAGAAAGTTACACAGATAGGCCGGACTAGGGAGAAGGAAGAAGAGATGTAGGGCTATAAAATTAAAACGAAATATAAGAAATGTCATATACTCCACCCAATCCCGAACAATAGAATGACTATAAATTAAAAACAATTTGCTATAGTTTTTCATTTTCACTTGGCCAAACTTCTGCTTCCAAGTTCCAACCTTTGAAAGCATGATACAGAAGACAATTCTATTTTGATTTGCATGTGTGATCCCACATTTATTGATTTAGATACCTTGAACACCGAGAGAAGGGTGTGTTATGAGCTTGTGTTGCAGATTGGGTCCAGTGCTGACAGCCAGTGGCGGACCCAGAATTTTGTTCAAGTGGGTTCAAATTATAATGAATCATGACAGTACTAACAATTATCATATATTTTTTTATTCCCATAATTAGCCCCAAAAAATGTTCTGATGTGCTATTTTGAGTCTAAAATAAATGATGATTTATCACTCAAGTGTACGACATTTGCCTTGCTTAGATCCCTTTTTTCCTTATCTAATGTAATAGTATACCGTCTGCCTTAGTAGTCTCAAATAAGGCGTGCATGCCTGCCTCTTTAGTAGGTGATTCACTACCCAAGCAAAGAAATGGCTGGATCAAAAGGGGTACTACGAGTCATCTGCCCCACACATCTAATCAGCTCGCGCAGTTTTCCTGACTAGACCAAAAGAGCAATTCAGTCGATACAGAGGTGTGCTTGAAGTGGGGGAGTGTGATGTCCCTATTAGGCTGGGGCCTTCTCCATAAGGCCCCACCATCGAAGCATAAGTGCCCTCTTGCTACTCATATGCCAGGCGACGTCCTTGATCTCTAACCAAGATCACTTCCACACCTATAATGTTCATGATCGATTCACAGATTTATATAAACTCATATTCCCCTTGTACCTTCGAAAATATGGGTTTTGAGTTGATGTTCAATTTAAAAAGAAAAAAGTAATCAAACAAAACAATAACATTTCATAACAAAAAAATATACCATGTAAACAACTACTAATAATAAGATTGAAATTTTTCACATATCTTCAATTTAAAATGTTGAGAATTAATCTTATTAATAACAATAAGAATGTAGCAATTTTGAATAATCATAAATAAAATAAGAAAATAATTTAGTAAAATGAATAAATAAATAAAAACACACTAACCCAACCTTCATGTATACCGAGGAAGAAATTTGTTTTTTCACACAACTTGGTATTTTATAGAAGAATTTAAACTAAGTACAATTGCATTTTTTAAAAGCTATAAACCAATTTCAAATAATAAACTTAAATGGAAAACTGATCTAGCACTATAATGGTGTAGATCTATTAATTAATTAACTTCTGGGACCCACCACTAGTGACTTAAAAAAAACTAAAACATGTAGAGATTTTGTACAAAATGAAATTCGATCCCTCATCTTTGTGGTTGAATTGACTCCGCTAAAACCACTAAGCTATGCTTCGCCTTAGTGTTTACTGGGTTCATTTTATTTACATATTCAAATTACATATTGAATTCATACATGTAAGAAGCACAAAATTTCGACGAAGTAGGTACAAGTGAACCCGCTTGACCCAACGTAGGTCCGCCCCTGCTGACAGCCGAGAACATGAGAACGCGAAGGATCACATACGTTAGCTGTCACCCAGTACATGTGCAAATGCACAGTTGAGAATGCAGACTACTTCCTGTTATATTGCAAAAATGGCAACACAACTATGGTTAGAGTGCTGAATTTTTGGAATACAGTGGACAATGCCAGGCACAATGAAGAAAGTGACACAGATAGGCCTAGGGAGAAGGAAGAAGAGATGTAGGGCTATAAATTAAAAAGAAATGCTATGAAATGTCATATACTCCTCAAAAATGTTATGAGATGCCAAATAATTGGCTATAATATTTTTTTAAAATCTCATATTGTTGTCACTTGGCCAAACTTCTACTTCCAAGTTACAACCTTTGAACGCATGATACAGAAGACAATTCTATTCTGATTTGGATGTGTGATCCCAAATTTATTGGTTTAGATACCTTGAGCACCAAGAAGGATATGTTTATTAGCTTGGGTCGCAACTCGGTCCAATGCAGACAGCCGAGAACATGAGAACGCAAAGGATCACATCTGTCAGCAGACGCCTGGTTCTTCATGTGCAAATGCACAGTTGATAGTGTGGACTACTTCCTGTTACATTGCAAAAGTAGAAACACAGCTATGGTGAGAGCGCTGAATTGGTTCAGAATACAGTGGATGATGCAAGGCACAATGAAGAAAGTTACACAGCTAGGTCTGGGATATAAGGAAGAAGAGATGTAGGACTATAAACTAAAAAGAAATGTTATGAAATGTCATACACTCCTCCCAGAAATGTTATGATATCCCAAATAATAGTATGGCTATAAATTAAAAAGAATTTGCTACAGTTTTCATTTATGCAATTAAAAAAAATAGATAATGGTAACTGATACAGAAAGACAATTCTATTTCAATTGAAATGAGTGGTCCCACATTTATTGGTTTAGGTACCTTGAGCACCAAGAAACGTGTGTTTAATTGCTTGGATTTGTAACTCGGGCAGCACCAAGAAAGGTGTGATTGATTGCTTGAATTGCAGAGGTGGGATAGCACCAAGAAAGGTGTATTTAATTGCTCAAATCGCAGATGGGGAGGGGTTCTGACAGTCGAGAACCTGAAAAGGTAAAGGATCCATAAGTCGATTGTCTGCTGGTGCTTCATGTGAAAATGCTGTACTTCCTGTTACATTGCAATAGGCAACACAGCTGTGGTGGGAGTGTCAAATTAGTTCAGAATACAGTGGATGATGCTAAGCACCCAGCTGGGATGTTCTCCATTAGCACCAATGTGAAAAAGATAGGAAAATTGGCAAATAATAAGCCAGACACTGCGATGTCAGCAGTATAAAGCATGCACTTTTTGCTATCTATGTCGTATTTAAAAATGTCAACAATGATTAAACATCCATAAGAAAATTTTAGAACACTGTCATAGGATTAGCTTTGAGATCTTATCTAAGATTCTCAGAACAAGAAACAAGAATAATCATTTCAAATCAGCGAAGAAACAAATCCATATACCAACCAAAATTCGCCAACTATCCAAATCATTCAAGAGAAACCCAGAGTGAGAGCGGAGCGACTGAAAACTTCCAATATTTGGGTCAACAAAACCGTTCAATTAGTCAGTGCATGCCTTTTCTGTTCTTGTTCGGATGAAGCTTTTAACTGAGGTTTAGGATAGAAGTCGGACTAGAACTAAAAGAATGAAGACTTTTAAAATAGATGCACAAGAAGGGAAAAGAAGAACAAGAAACTTTTTTTTAACTGGTAAATGTGAAAGAAGAACGAGAAACTTCATATGTGTTGAGAGCTTATACTTAATTTCTCTTACTTTCCAAATGTATTTCAACAAAAACAAAGAAAAACATAACGCCCAAAGGTAAGACGCAGAAAGAAAGGAAACTTGTAGGCAAATACCAAGGATATAAAGTTAAGGATGAACAATAATCACAAAAATCAGAGAAGAAAAACCAGAAAAAGGACAAAACTAATTAATAGAACAAGGGTTTTAGGGAGAAGTTACATTACCTGGATCCCTATGTGCCAGCAAACGCACGGACAAGATTTGCAGCATACTGCAACTCATTGGAAGGACCTTCCTACAAGGTCATGCGAGTCATCAAGGGCCCGCACTTAGGCGGGCCCAATAGCTGTGTATTGAAGTTCATAATTAGAAACCGCTAAATAGATTAACAAAAGAATGATTTTTTGCTTTTGAGACGATGTGGTACAAAATCGCATGCAAATCCTATCATACCTCCCTTCTTAATAACTGCATATGCATTGCTGAATTAATAAACTACCATTTCTACATTCAAAATCTACATCTTTCCTTTACTACTTTTGATACCAAATCTACAATATAAAGTGTGTGATCTCTAGAAAAGCGATTCTCCCGATCCTTGTTTAAGATTGACAGATTATAGCAGCCTCCTATATTGATTGTGGTTGAATTAATATATCTCTCATACAAGTGCCTAATGAATGTGACTGTACAAGCTAAGTGGATAGTCACTGAGAATTACAATAGTAATGAATAGAACCTACCAGCTACCATTATCATAAAAGTGGAGGAATACAAATTCACAAGAAAAATAGATCAACAGAGTACCTTTTTACACCCTAAAGCAAATAATTACGACCGCTGAGGGGTCACAAATTACCATCAATTGGATCAGACAGGACAGAACAACCAAAGAGTACAACTGGCTTGACAATGCGATATGCCAATATCTCCTAAAAGAGTGGGCAGTCATTGCACTTGGTTTGTGATAGAGATAGATAAAGACCATAACAAATTCCGACCACAATCTTTTTAAAGAAATTATCTTTAGGAATAAGTAAAGTATTTCCCATTAATGGCATATCTTTTTTATGACATGTGATCTACCGCTGCTGTGATAAAAAAATTTGACAAGTATATTTGGCATATATAGCAATTCTCAAGAAAAGAGATAATACTTGGCTTAAAAGAGTTGAAGAGACATCTGACCAAGAGACATGCCAGCCTTACTCTGCCCACTTGTTACATGTCCTCAAGGTCTTCATATAGGAAATAGGCACACCCTATTCATACCTTGAGGGGCCATTTGGTTTGCGGACTAGTTTATGCAGGGATCATGGTAAAGGAGTGTTATGCAATGAATATCAATGTAGGGATTGTTATGAGCTGAATAATTGTCTACTTTAAAAGCAAAATTTATGCTTCTAGATACTCTTATCCAAGTATCGATAATTACTATTTTTATTCCATATCCTATCCCGCATAAGATAATACACTGAATCACACATAATTATGTTGGTATTAGCAATACATACTTTAGTACCACAACAAAAGAAGTACTCCCTTCATCCCAATTTTAAGTGTCGTAGAGTCTGTTTGGATGGACTTGGTAGTTTTTGGCTTAGACACAAGTGCTTAAAAGCACTATTTTACCCAAACACTAAAAAAGTGCTTAAAACACTTAAAATAAGCCTATCTAAACATGATCTTACTTTCCTTCTTGATCTGTCCTAGAAAGACTTGTCTCTTTCTATATTTAGTAAATTTTCCAGTTTCAACAATCTACCTGGCAAGTTTAAGACCACAAAATTTAAAAGACTACACACATTTTTAATTTAAGACCACGAGACTCAAAAGTCTCCCTTTGTTTCTTAAACTCCGTGCTCAGTCAAACCAAGACACTTAAATTGGGACGGAAGGAATATTTGTTATGCATAGTTTTACACCGGAAATTAAATTAGCAGTACAAAGTTTTATGTTGCAAATCAAACATAGTATACTAGACATGCAGAATTTTGTGTGCGGTGATACTTTCTTATGTGGCCAACCAAACAATCCCTGACTACATATTCTCTAAAATTTTCTGGACAGAGCTGAATCAGATAACTTGTTTTGAAGCCTACTAACTTCCTGTCTTGCATAGTGCTCAACCAGGAAACTAAGAAGTCCATATTTGCCTGTGTAATCTCCTTGTAGATTAATAGAAGTCTATCTCCTTTATCAAAACCACACTAGTGTATTAAGCAATTCTTATTTGTTCACCAAACCAAGAGCCTGAGGAAAGGCCAAATGAGCATCTAATCAGCTATTAGAGTATATCAAGAAACAACAATTATCATTTTATTGAATAAATGCCATGAAAAGAAAATAATGGTTATCAAATCAAAAACAGAGAAAGACAAGAAATGACATGAAACAAGAAATAAAAGAGTATCAGTCAGAAGCTAACGATGTAATCTTATCTGCTGAAATAATCTACAATCACTTTTCTCTCCTCATGTGTTGCAGATGGCTTACCTTTCCCATTATAAGGATATATAATATTTTAAATATAAAAAGACACACACACATACATATATACATTATGTATGTAAACACACACAAACATACACATATAGCAATTGAAGAGGCATTTATGTACCAAACTGGAAGACCAATATGATCCTTTACATTTGATAATGCAATAATATGCTTCAAACCTTGCAAACCACTACCACCATTCAGGACAGATAACACCTTGAATGTCTGAAGGCTCATAGCGAATAAATGCAAAATACTACTTAGAAACACCTCATCTTCTCTGTAATTGCATGCCATCAGATGCAAGAAGCATTGTCGCCCTAACATCAGATGCAAGAAGCATTGTCACCCTAAACCAACAGATTCACTCATCTTGCATTAAAGTGAATCCTGTGGCCTTTGCAAGTGATCTGAAAACTAATTCTAATTGTTCAAATGGACACTTTGAAAATGTGGATCAGCTGTAGAAATTGAACCATTAGAACTGGTTTTCCTAACCATTTGTTAAGACCACAACATTTTCTTTAATACGAGACAAGTCTATTTGTTGCTTAAGGTTATTAGCAACCTTGAATCAATATCTCCATGTCCCTTTACTCTTTTTTGAAACTACAAGCCCCATTGTTTCCATTTCCTTTTTCAACTCCACACCCTATGAATCAATATAATCAGTTAAGTAATAAATCCATACATTTTATTTAGACAAAGTTAAAAGTTCAATAATGCAAAATTGGGACCAAAGAAAATAAAGAAAATGATAGTTTCTTCGTAGAAAAGCAGCAACTAAGTCTCCTGTTTCGGATGTTCTCTGTCTGTCTATATACAAGGTAGAAAATTATTTCCAAAATTGAAATCTATGTAGACTTCTCCCACATTCTTGATTCACATACAAAATTTATTTTCCACATTCTTGATTCACATACAAAATTTATTTTCCACATTCTCAATTCACATACAAAATTATTTTCCACATTCTTAATTCACATACAAAATTTATTTTCCATCTTCTTCACATGTAAAATTTATTTACTCCCAAAATTGCAATACCTAGATTCGGTGTGGAAGCCAATGCTAAGGAAGAACGGATCCGAGGAATGCACCCTGATCCGGATGGATACAAATGGCGACCCGCCACGGTAAAGGGTCTTCTAGGGTTTTGACAGAGTGGATTTGGGGAAAACCCGGGTCATGGACTCTTTTTGTGTTTCTCAGTTGTTGCCTTGTTGGGTTATTTATAGCCCATATTAAATAGCCGAATGACCCGGGTTATGGATTTCTGGCAAATATATTACTAGTATTTTTTCTTTTTAAACACTCTATTTCTAATAAAAAATATTATTATTAAAGAATCCAATTATTATTATTTTTCTTTTAAAATCACTTTAGCTTATAAATAAGGAGAAATTTTTTTTTATCTTCTTAATCTCATTTTAACAGTTAAAATACAATAACTCCATGTACCTTTTAAATTGATCATAGTCATCAATTTTATTTAGATAACGATAAAAAAATTATTAATCTTTTATGAATTGAAGTAGAATAAATTTTTACTAATTTTAAAAAAAAATCATCATTAGAAAAAGATTTTTTTCTAATGTATTGAAAAAAACAATATTTTTGACCCATTAATTAACCATAGAAGCATTTTTGGACGAAATATTGACAACAAATATATTTTAGACTAAACTGCTAACTTGGGACATTTTTGTTCAATTTTACATGATTTAAAGGTATTTTTTACCCTTTTCCATAAATTATATAGTCTTGTGAAGAATTTTATTATATGTTTTACGCAATTAAAACTTAATTGTGTGTGATTATTTTTCAGTTTCACAAGTTGATTGCCCCAAATCTTATATTTTGGATATACAGGTTTTATAGTTTTGTATTACGTTAGTTTTAAGATTGATATGTAGAGGTTGATTTATAATTCGATCATGTATATTTTTTTTCTTAAAAAAATTAACTACTCATAGCAAATACTACAAAATTGTATAAATAAAAGTTTTTGAAGAATAAAACTAAAATAGACCATCGACTTAACTTTTTTATATAATTGCAATATAAATCTTAATCCATGAAATTTGCAATATATATATTAGATACTTTTAGCCATCGGAAAATGCAAAATATATATCAATCTTTTAAATTTAGACAGAATGAACAAGCCTTTGCCTAGCTGGTAACCATTAATTACATTTAGTGCATCTGTTCTAATTTTTTGTGGTTCAACCATCTCAATTAAATTAACATCTAAGATGTTAAATTTTGCTATGGATTTGTCCCGAATTATTACATCTCACTTTTATTTTTTTTCTTTCACGTTTAAATTATAGCACTAATTATATTTATGGTTATCATAATATTCATGTATTTCAAAATTAATTTTCTTATTCACCAAGCTTTTTAAGCTCCACTGTGTTATATTCATATTATGGAAATATTTTAAATATACACGGTGAGGCAAATATTTTTATTTATTATGAAGTGGTTCATATATTCATTATATAAAATAGAGAATTAAGGCAAGGAGAATTGGAAGAAGAAAAAAAGCAACTTTATTTCTTGATAGATTTTTCCATTGATTGAAGCAAACACTGCTTTGATTAAATCCAAGCTACTATTTTTTTTTTACATAATATTAGATCAAGAGGAGTTTAAATCAACCTGCATGGTGAAGATTTATATAAAAAAGGACCATAGTTGTTAATTTGTAAAGTCAAAAGTCTAAAAGTTCATTGGACTTTTTGACTCCCAAACGGGCCTTGAAATCACTGATTGATAGGAGACTCCGCCAATCTGAGGTTCTAATTTCTATAGCTTCTACAACTGCTGGACTATCAGTAAGTTTATCCATCGGAATCTTGCTTACAGAAAGCAAGTTCGCACCGCAGCCGCCTGGATAATTGCCAATTCAGCCTAATCCAGTATTACTGACCAGGCTCCAGGAATAAGTCCTCTCCTTTATACCACGAGTTGTATGATCCAACTGAGCACCAAGAAAGGTGTGTTTATCAGATTGGGTCGCAGCTCGTGTCCAGTGCTGACAGCCAAGTACGCCAAGGATCACATATACTGCTGTTACTTGGTGCTTCATGTGCAAATGCACAGTTGAGAATGTGGACTACTTCCTGTTACATTGCAAAAGTGGCAACACAGCTATAGTGAGAGTGCAGAATTGGTTTGGAATACAGTGGACTATGTCAGGCACAATGAAGAAAGTTTCACATCCCTAGGGAAGAATGAAGAAGAGACATAGGGATACGACAACAACATACCCAATATAATCCCACAAAGTAGGGTGATAAAAGAAGAATAATGTAGCTATAAAAAAAATGCTGTTTTTTAGATGGTAAATTAAATAGAAATTTCATAAAAGGTCATGTACTCCTCCCAAAAATGTTATGAGATCACAAACCATTGTATGGCTATTAAAAATAAATTGCTCTTACGGTTTTTACTTGCCCAAACTTCTGCTTCCAAGTTCCAACCTATGCAAATGCATGATACAGAAAATTCTATCTTGATTTGAATGTGTGATCCCAATTTATTAGTTTAAATACCTTGGGCACTAAGAAAAGGTGTGTTTATTAGCTTGGTCAGCAGCTCCAGTCCAGTGCTGACAGCAGAGAACATGAGTATGCGAAGGATCACATATACTGCTGTTACTTGGTGCTTCATGTGCAAATTCACAGCTGAGAATGTGGGCTACTTCCTGTTACATTGCAAAGTGGCAATACAACTGCGGTGAGAGTGTTGAGTTGGTTTAGAATACACTGATGCCAGGAACAATGAAGAAAGTTACAGAGATAGGCCTAGGGAGAAGGAAAAAGAGATGTAGGGCTATAAATTCAAAAGAAATGCTATGAAATGCCATATACTCTTCTCAAAAATGTTATGAGATACCAAACAATTGTATGGCTATAAATTAAAAAATAATAATCTCATATTGTTTTCACTTGGCCAAACTTCTACTTCCAAGTTACAACCTTTGAACGCATTCTGATTTGGATGTGTGATCCCAAATTTATTGGTTTAGATACCTTGAGCACCAAGGAGGATATGTTTATTAGCTTGGGTCGCAACTCGGGTCCAATGCTGACAGCCGAGAACATGAGAGCGTGAAGGATCACATCTGTCAGCTGACGCCTGGTGCTTCATGTGCAAATGCACAGTTGATAGTGTGGACTACTTCCTGTTACATTGCAAAAGTGGTGACACAACTATGGTGAGAGTGCTGAATAGGTTCGGAATACAGTGGATGGATGATGCAAGGCTCAATGAAGAAAGTTACACTTCTAGGTCTGGGAGGGAAGGAAGAAGAGATGTAGGGCTATAAACTAAAAGGAAATGTTATGAAATGTTATACATTAAAAAGAACCTGCTACAGTTCTCATTTAGGCAAATTTCTGCTTCCAAGTTCTAATCTTTGAATGCATAATACAGAAGATTTAAAAAATTGATGATGGTAACTGATACAGAAAGACAATTCTATTTCAATTTAAATATGTAGGTCCTGCATTTATTGGTTTCGATACCTTGAGCACCAAGAAAGGTTGTTTAATAGCCTGGATTTGTAACTCGGGCAGCACCAAGAAAGGTGTGTTTGATTACTTGAATCACAGGTAGGATAGCACCAAGAAAGGTGTGTTTAATTGCTTGAATCGCAGATGGGGAGGGGTGCTGACAGCCAAGAGCCTGAGAAAGCAAAGGGTCACATAAGTCAATTGTCTGCTGGTGCTTCGTGTGAAAATGCTCTACTTCCTGTTACATTGCAATAGGCAACACAGCTGTGGTGGGAGAGTCATATTAGTCTAGATTACAGTGGATGATGCCAAGCACACAGCTGGGATGTTCTCCATTAGCAATAATGTGGATCTATAGGAAACAGGTATATGAGAGCTTAAATGATGTAATAACTGACTTTGCACATATGAGGAATGCATTGTGTTTCTAACTTTGTGCACCCATGAGGTTCCGGTTTGTATGGATAGTGTAGTTCTCTACTATTTGGTAAACTTGTTGTATACAGAGTTCATTAATGAAATTAAAGACCATTCTATTTCGAATCTGAGACATGTTAACAACCGATATACTATAATTTTACATCGTCACACATTATCATCCATTGTCATCAAGGGGTGTGGCATACAGAGTTTTGTGAAGAGGCTGCTGCAACAAATTTCATACCAATCCGGGCTGAATGACAGGATGACAATGCTGAAGGAAACTAAGGACAAATGTGGCAAAAAAAATAATTATTTTCTACATTTACGTTATCAGACATTTAAGGTTAGCAGACATGATAAATCAGAAAATTTATGAAGAATCACTGCTTACAGGTTTCTTTTGGTATTAGAATTAACCAAGCTGGATTTCAGCCAATCAGCCTGAACTAGTTCATCTTTGAAAAATTAAAAAACTAGATGTTATTTATATGAGGTAAAGCTAGTTTAATTTTTTATAACAGGAAAAGATAGGAAAATTGGCAAATAATAAGCCAGACGCTCTGATGTCAGCAGTATAAAGCATGCTCTTTTTGCTATCTATGTTGTATTTAAAAATGTCAACTATGATTAAACATCCAAAAGAAAGTTTTAGAACACTTTCATAGGATTAGCTTTGAGATCTTATCTAAGATTCTCAGAACAAGAAACAAGAATCTAATCATTTAAAATCAGCGAAGAAACAAATCCATATACCATCCAACATTCGCCGACTATCCAAATCATTCAAGAGAAACCCAGATTGAGAGCGGAACGAGTGAAAACTTCCAATATTTGGGTCAACAAAACCGTTCAATTAGTCAGTACATACCTTTTCTGTTCTTGTTCGGATGAAGCTTTTACCTGAGGTTTAAGATAGAAGTCGTACTCGAACTAAAAGAATGAAGACTTTCAAAATAGATGCACAAGAAGGGAAAAGAAGAACAAGAAGCTTTTATTGAAACTGGTAAATCTGAAAGAAGAACGAGAAACTTCATATGTGTTAAGAGCTTATACTTAATTTAATTCTCTTTCTTTCCAAATGTATTTCAACAAAAACAAGAAAAACATAACGCCCAAAGGTAAGGAGACAAAAAGAAAGAAAACTTATAGGCAAATACCAAGGATATAAAGTTAAGGATGAACAATTATCACAAAAATCAGAGAAAAGGAAAACCAGAAAAAGGACAAAACTAATTTAATGGAACAAGAGCTTGAGGGAGAAGTTACATTACCAGCAAACGTGCGGACAAGATTTGCAGCATACTGCAACATTGGAAGGACCTTCCTACAAGGTGATGTGAGCCATCAAGGGCCCGCACTTAGGCGGGCCCAATAGCTGTGTGTTGAAGTTCATAACTAGAGGCCGCTAAATAGATTAACAAAAGAATGGTTTTTTTGCTTTGGAGACGATGTGGGACAAAATCGCATGCAAATCCTATCATACCTCCCTTCTTTATAACTGAATACACATTGCGGAATTAATAAACTACCATTTCTACATCTTTCCTTTACTATTTTTGATACCAAAATCACAATATAAAGTGTGTTATCTCTAGAAATGTGATTCTCCCAATTCTTGTTTAAGATTGACAGATTATAGAAGCCTCCTATATGGATTGTGGTTGAATTAATCTCTCTCATACAAGTGCCTAATGAGTGTGACTGTACAAGCTAAGTCGATAGTCATTGAGAATTCAATAGTAATGAATGGAACCGACCAGCTACCATTATCCTAAAAGTGCCAAACATCAGGAATACAAATTCACAAGAAAATAGATCAATAGAGTACCTTTTACACCCTAATGTAAATAATTATGACCACTGAGGGGTCACAAATTACTATCAATTGGATCAGACAGGACCTTACAACCAAAGAGTACAACCGGGTTGACAATGCAATGTGTAAATATCTCCTAAAAGAGTGGCAATTATTACAAAATCTGACCACAATCTTTTTAAAGAAATTATTTAGGAATAAGTAAGGTATTTCCCATTAATGGCACATCAAAAAAAATTGGACAAGTATATTTGGCATATATAGCAATTCTCAAGAAAAGAGATATTACTCACATGAATATGATAATACTTGGCGTAAAAGAGTTGGAGAGACATTTGACCAAGAGACCTGCCAGTCTTACTGCCCATTTGTTGCATGTCCTCAAGGTCTTTGTATAGGAAATAGGCACGCACTACCCATACCTTGAGGGGCCATTTGATTTTTATGAGCTGAATAATTGTCTGCTTTAAAAGCAATATTTATGCTTCTAGATACTCTTATCCAAGTATCGATAATTACTATTTTTATTCCATATCCTATCCCCACATAAGATAATGCACTGAATTGCACATAATTATGTTGTTATTAGCAATACATAGTTAGTACCACAACAAAAGAAGTACTCCCTCCGTCCCAAATTTAAGTGTCTTAGAGCCTGTTTGGATGGACTTATAGTTTTTGGCTTAAAAACAAGTGCTTAAAAGCACTTTTTTTATGATTCAAAAGTCTCCCTTTGTTTCTTAAACTCTATGCTCAATCAAACCAAGACACTTAAATTGGGAGGGAGGGGATTTTGTTATGCATAGTTTTACACCGGAAATCAAATTAGCAATACAAAGTTTTATGTTGCCAACCAAACATAGTATATTACACATGCAGAATTTTGCGTGCGTTGATACTTTCTTATGTGGCCAACCAATCGACCTCTGACTATATATTCTCTAAAAATTTCTGGACAGAAATGAATCAGATAACTTGTTTTGAACTCTACTAACCTCCTGTTTTGCATAGTGCTCAACCAGGAAACTAAGAAGTCCATATTTGCCTGTGTAATCTCCTTGTAGAATAACACTAGTCTATCTCCTTTATAAAAAACACACCAGTGAACAAAGCGATTCTTATTTGATCACCAAAGCAAGAGCCTGAGAAAAGGCCAAATGAGAATCCAATCAGCTATTACAGTATATCAAGAAACAACAATTATCAATTTATTGAATAAATGGCATGAAAAGAAAATAATGCCTATCATATCTAAAACAAAGAAAGATAAGAAATGACATGAAACAAGAAATAAATGAGTATCAGTAAGAAGTAACAATGTAATCTTATCTTCTGAAATAATCTACATTCACTTTTCTCTCCTTGTATCGTTATAAGGATATATAATATTTTAAATATAAAAAGACACACACAAACATACACATATAGCAATTAAAGAGGCATTTATGTACCAAACTGAAAAACCAATATGATCCTTTACATTTGACAATGTAATAATATGCTTCAAACCTTGCAAACCACTACCACCACTCAGGACAGGTAAAACCTTGAATGTCTGAGGGCTCATAGCCAATAAATACAAAATACTACTTAAAAACACCTCATCTTCTCTGTAATTGCATGCCATCAGATGCAAGAAACATTGTCTCCCTAAACCAAAAGAACGATTCATCTTGCGTTTAAGTGAATCCTGTGGCCTTTGCAAGTGATCTGAAAACTAATTCTAATTGTCAAATGGACACTTTGAAAATGTGGAATCACCTGTAGAATTAGAACCATTAGAATTGGTTTTCCTAACCAATTGTTAAGACCACAGCATTTTCTTTAACACAAGACAAGTCTATATGTTGCTTAAGGTCATTGCAACCTTGAATCAATATCTCAATGTCCCTTTACTCTTCTTTGAAATTACAAACTCCATTGTATCCATTTCCTTTTTCAGCTCCACACCCTATAAATCAATATAATCAGTTAAGTAATAACTTCATACATTTTATTTAGACAAAAAGTTAAAAGATCAATAATGCAAAATTGGGACAAAAGGAAATAAAGAAAATCATAGTTTCTTGAAGTTCTTGAAGAAAAGCAGCAACTATGTCTACTGTTTCGGATTGTTTTCTTCCTGTCTATATACAATGTAGAAAATTATTTCCAAAATTGAAATCTATGTAGACATTTTCACATTCTTGATCCACAAACAAAATTTATTTACTCCCAAAATTGCAATACCTAGATTCGGTATGGAAGCCACTGCTGAAACTGAAAGAAGAATGGGTCCGATGAATATACCCTGACCCGGATGGATACAAATGGCGAGTGTTGCGACCCGCCACGAGAAACAGTCTTTTAGGGTTTTGACAGAGTTGATTTGGGAAAATCCCCGGGTCATGGACTCTTTGTGTTTCTCCGTTGTTGCCTTGTTGGGTTACTTTATAGCCCATATAAAATAGCCGAAAGTACCCGGGTTATGGATTTCTGGCCCATGGATCGCGGATGCGTGCCCAAGAATTCAATTAACTTATATGGCCCTAAACATAAAATTATTATGATATATACGGAAAATGATTTTAAAAAATGTTTCACGTGAAATCGAATAAAAATGCCCTTAATTAATATTTTGATTCAAAAATATTTTCGTTGTCAATAATTTGGTCTAAAAATGTCCATACTGCTAATATAATTTGATGCAAAAACACATTTATTATTTACTTAATGGTAAAAAAAAAATCTAATAAGAATTAGTATTTTTTTTCTTCTTAAACAATTCTATTCTTGATACAAATATTACTATTGAATAACCTAATTACTGTTTTCTTTTAGTTTAAAATCACTTTAGCTAATAAATAAGTGAGAAATAATATTTTTTATCTTTTTAATCTCATTTTAACAATTAAAACATAATAATTTCATGTACCTTTGATCCATTAAGTAATGATAGTGACACTTTTGGACCAAACTATTGACAGCAAGAACATATTTACACTAAACTGCTAATCAGAGGCATTTTTTATTCAATTTTGCATAGTTAAGATCTTCTTCTCTCTTTTTTTTTACCCTTTTTCATCATTTTGTATAATTTCGTGAAGAATTTTATTATGTATTTTATACTATCGAAACTTAATTGTTATGGCTATATTTTTGTTTCACAAGTTGATTGACCCAAATCTTACACTTTTGGATTCACAAGTTTTATAATTTTGTACTATATTACTTTTTAAGATCGAAATATAGCGATTTATATTCGATCATGTATCTTTTCTTTTAAAAAAAAATTAAAGAAACTACCTGATGAGGTAAATACTAAATACTACAAAATTGTATAAATAAAAGTTTGAAGAATATAAAACTAAAATAGGTGTCGACTTAAGATAGAGTTTTTATGTAAAATATATAATTATGTAGTTCTTTTAATGAATATAAATGCATAGTTCTTTTAATGAATGTAAAAGAATTAGATACTTTAATTATCATAAAATGCAAAAATATGTCATTTTTTTTTAATTTAGACGGAATGAACAAGCCTTTATCTAGCTGGTAACTATAAATTACTTTTGATGCATCTGTTCTAATATTTTTGTGATTCAACCATCTCAATTAATTTCACATCTGAGATGCTAAATTTGGCTATGGATTTGTCCCAAATAATAACATCTCACTTTAATTTCTTTTCTTCACGTTTAAATTATAGTACTAATTTAATTTAATTTCTTTTCTTCACGTTTAAATTATAGTACTAATTTAATTTTTGATTCTCATAATATTCATGTATTTCGAAATTCTTCGATCGGATGAAGAATTCATTATTTACCTAGCTTTTAAAGCTCCACTTTGTTATATTCATATTATGGAAATGTTTTAAATGTACACGGTGTGACAAACATATTTATATATTATGAAGTGGTTCATATATTATAAAAATAAAAAAAGAGAATTAAGGCAAGGAGAATTGGAAGAAAAGAAAGTGACTCCTTTGACTAATACTAGTAAGTCACTTGAGCGTGGTTTTTGTTGTTTCTATTAATTTTTTCTGGTCAGCATTTCATACAGTTTTTTCTTTCTTTCTTGTCTTTTCATGAATTATGTAATTTTCTGCCCTAGCTCCTCTTTGTGTTGTGTCATGAGAGTTGATTTCTCGTAAAATTACCTTTTTTGTTAATTAATAGTGAAATGTAGAGAAAAAGATAATTTTCTGAGATAATAATCATTAGTTGGATAGTCATATGAGAAATTAACCATGTGTCATTACTAAGTCATAAAGGTTTACAGTTTGATTGTTCCTGACCTAAGTTAAAAAAAAAAATCACTATCTTTATAGTTAATCAGACTAGCATACATACTTTTTTCACAATTCGACCAAAACAACTTCTCTTACCAACATAATAAAGGGTCTTGATATAAATGGTTCTTAGGGGGAGAGTTTAAAGATTGGATTTAATTATATGAGTAACAAGACATGTGCTAGCTATTATTCATTGCATAATAATTTTATTCACATTATTTTTCTATGCATTTTAGTTCTTACATAAAACATGTGATCATAGTTTTGTCTCTATTAATCGTACCCAAAATTGGAAGTTCATGAACCAACAACTCTTAATTATTTCACACATTTGTCTCTATATACCGTTCGTGCCGAAAATTGGAAGTTCATTGACATTTGATTTCTATAAGATGAATCGGCTGATCATAGCTTTAATTGCAACAATTTATCTCCTTGTTTTGGCTATATGTTAGTTGCAAAAGTTGTCCATATAATGTACTATACTTTCATATATCTTGATTGCATTAAATTATACTATAAGTTACTTCTTTTGGCATTACACATTTTGCAAATAGCAAGATCAATCTTAAAGTAAAACTTGTTTGTTTACATCTTATCTTATGTTATTTTTTGTGTCTTTCAGAATCAACACGCGACGAGGAAGAAAGTTCTACATGACTACACTTGGAAACAATGGGTTCATTCTCTTTTGCTCCTTGTTTTTGGCAGGTCAGTACATATATACATCAGTAGAAGGCACAGGCTCCGTGAAATAGACATGTATGTGAAGATGAACAAGTTTTTAAATAAGTTGGTCCTACAAGTATTTTAATTAATTTAATCTGATCTCATGATAAATAAAATCATGATGTTAAATTTCATGTCCTTGAGTCGAATTGGCAATTAAATACTTGCAGGTACTTTCCGTATCTTATATGAAGTAGTAATTAACAACAATTTCACTTCTCTAGGATATTTGATTCATGGCGCTACACTTTATGACTATTCAGCAACAATAGAGGTATACTCGAAAACATTTTATATTTCTCTTTTTACAGTATCAACGTATAGAAGTTAAACTCTTTCTCACATAAGTTAATTTCAGTGCCACAAGCAACCATTGGATCCTCAATATGGAGGAGGCTTAATTGCAAATCCTGGATTTGATAAAGGCATAGAGGCCTGGAAAATAGATGGTCATGTAAAAATAGAAGCAAGGGAATCTGGTGGAAACAAATTTATTGTGGCGTATAATAGAACCACGCCTTATAGTGTCTCACAATCTTTTCACTTGAAGAAGGGCCTATATTACGCGTTTTCAGGTAAAAAAAATTACTATAGACATAAAATAAAATTTCATATTCCTATAATTGATTTTGAAGAACCTGAATTTCATCAAGTTAATTATAAATAATATTGTGCAGCTTGGGTTCAATTAAGTGAAGGATCAGATACTGTGGTTGCCATGATTTATAACTCAGCCCAAAAAGCTGTTATTATTGTGGGATCAGTAATAGCTAAATCTGGTTGCTGGTCTATGATCAAAGGTGGACTCACTGTTGATCATAATGCACCTTCAGTACTCCATTTTCAGGTATTATATCGCACCTGGGCGAGACAACTGTAAAAATAATTCTCATTTATAACTGTCAGTGCAACATATTTTAACATGTTATAGCAAGTAATCTGTTTTATTTTAATCGTGCAGAGTAATAACACTAAGTCCGAGTTAAGGGTGGATAGTGTTTCTCTCAAAGAATTTACCAAATATGAATGGCAGGAAAATCGGTTGAAAAATATAGAGAAGGTTGTTCCTAAATTTGACTTTTTCCAAACGAAAATTTCCTTCTTTTTCTTTTTTTCTCCTCTTAATTTACTCTTTCTGTGTTATATATTTTGATAGGTTCGGAAGAGAACATTGAGAGTAAATGTGTCAAATAAGGATGGCAAGAAAATTGGAGGAGCAAAAATCAAGATTCAACAGAGGAAACTACAATTTGTTATTGGCTGTGCGACACCATCGTCCATTTTAATGTCTGAATCGTATCAAAAATGGTTCGTGTCCAGGTTCACAACAGCAGTTTTTGACAACGAGATGAAATGGTACTATGTGGAAGGATTACAGGGCCACGAAAATTATAGCACCCCAGATGCAATGCTCAAATTCTTTGAAGACCATGGGATTGATGTCAGAGGACATACTGTCCTATGGGGAGCAGATAATATCCAACGTTGGGTAAAAGATTTACCACCAAGACAACTTTTAAGTGAATCTGTACGACGAATGGGTAGCATTATGTCAAGATATGCAGGTAAATAGAGACACATTCAAAATTTTCATTTTGGAAATACTGAGTTCAGTTGAACCTGTAGCTGATAATCTCCGTTCGTCTCTGCAGGTAAATTGGTTGCTTGGGACGTTGTAAATGAGAATTTACATCACCCACTATTTGAGGAAAGACTTGGGAAAAATGCTTCAGCTATGTTTTACAAGATCGCAAGCTCATTAGACAGCAAAGCGACTATGTTCTTAAATGAGTTCAACACTTTAGAGCACCCTGGTGATATGGTTTCTATACCTTCCAAATATGTCGAAAAGCTTCAGGAGATTAAGGCATTTCCAGGGAATGAGGAATTGGTGATTGGAATTGGACTTCAAGGGCATTTTGATAGTCATCCTAATATACCATATGTTCGTGCTGTTTTTGATTTGTTAGGAGAAACTAAAATGCCCATTTGGCTCACCGAGCTAAATGTTATGCCCTGTTCCAACCAGGTATACTCCTATCACGATTCATGTCCTATTTTACTTGTCATGTTTGCTGACGGTTTAACACTATCATTACAGGCTTACTATTTGGAAGAAATTATGAGGGAAGCGTTTGCACATCCAGCTGTGAAAGGGATGATGATATGGATAGGATGGAAGCCAGATAGATGCAATGAGATGTGTTTGTTAAATTACGAATTGCAAAATTCGCCATCAGGGGATGTGGTTGACAAGTTATTTGCTGAATGGAAGACAACAAACTTAACGGGTGTTACAGATAAAGAAGGATCGTTTGAGGTTAAAGTTTTCCATGGAGACTATGAGATCACAGTTTACAATCCTAATAGTGGTGCCAATGTCACAAAGGAAGTGCAGGTCTATGATGACAAGTCTGAAACACTCCATGTTTCGATTAGTCTGTGAATTCATCTTTCACATGCCACTGAAAATGTGGATTGATAAGAAAAAACAACTTTAATTGCTAAGAAAATAAGTAGCACGGACACTATATATACGTGCTAATGTTGATGTTTTTATGATGCTAAGGGGTCGTTTGGTTTGAAAATGAGTTATGATGGGATAAATTATGTTGAGATAAGTTATGTTGGGATTAGTTATGATGGGATAAGTTGTGTTGGGATTATTTTTTATTGAGTGTTTGGTTTGTTGTATTCAAAATAATAAATTTTAAGAACAATTTATTTGTTTACAAAAATGCCCTTCATTAATGTAAAAAGTGATATAACAAAAGGGTTGAAAGAGACATTTCTGTCATTTACCTATTTTATCCCGGGATAAGTTATCCCGGGATTACTATACCACCCCAAGAGAGGGATAACTTATCCCGGTATTAATTATTAATCCCGGGATAAGTTATCCCGAACTTGCCAACCAAACAACAAATAAGCGGTACTATAATTTAATCCCGGGACTATTTGGTATTATCCCTCACACCAAACGACCCCTAAATGTATTATTTTATCTATCACGTGTAAGTATTGAAAAGAAAATATGTATGTCCTCCCTATAAGATATATGCACCTTTTTTCCCTATCAGTATTTCGTTAATTTTATATACTTAATGTTAGAATGGAGGTGTCCACTAGTGACAGTGTGGAAAATAAATAGCTCAAAGTAGATCAGGCACAAAGAGTTTACATGGAAACCCCCTTGCTCAAGGGAGGTGAAAACCACGACATGTATACACAAGATTTCAACTCAAACTCCATTTCACCCAAACGGAGAAAATTTTTAGATTACAAACTCTTGCAACCTAGGAATTAAACTATTAATCCCTTCCCCCTTACTGTAGCAACTCTACTACAAAGAAAACTAAGCAATAACTCTATTGCCCACTAAACCAACTAACTCAAGTTGATCTAGACTTCAAGAACCCAACAAGGCTAACTCTAGCCACTAACTCCGATCTCGAAGATAAGAGCATAAACAAGCAGCAACTTTGTTGCACCCACACCTCAACTAACTCTAGTTGACACTCCTAGGCAACTCTACCCAAGAGAACATCAAAACAATGATGTAAAAAGGCTTGACTAAAACATAGATGATTGGACTTAATACGACTCAAACTAAAAACATAGACAAGCAAGATCTACTATCCTTTATAACTTAGAAGTAGATTTACAATATAGGAACATAAGACACAAAGCTCAAAATACAACAAAGATGCTTTAACACTCCATCAGGTCCCTTGTTGAGCATGAACAATGTTCTTCCTTAAAGATGACCTTTTCTTTGTGAGCTAATGAATTTTCAGAAATTTGAAACTTTGTTTGCCAAATCTTGGATTTGTCTTTGGAGAAAAGACTATTATCAAATGGACCCAAACCCTTAGGACCAAGCCATTGGCTGAGCTGCTACTATGAAAAGACATACACCAGCCACAATAGAGTTGGCAGTTGTGGCACGTTTTAGACAACTGTCTTTTTGACTTTTTCCACGTACGCAATCTTTCCTCGACCAGGTCTCTTGTTAGATCCGGAAATTTGTTAAATCATCAAAACTTCAATTCAGCTTAAAATAACAATTTCCCCATTTTTGATGGTGGCAGACTAATATCCAGCCACTTCAACTTTCAACCCTTGATTTTGTTCATTCCCCCTATCATCAGTTTCAATATTAGAAGACCGAGTCTTTCCTGGGTCTAGTCCCTTGTTAGATCCTGAAGTTTGTTAAATCATCAAAACTTAACATCAGCTCCAAAATAACACTTAAGCGCTGCTAAATATAAGAGAAATCATCATAATTCAAAAAATAAATAAATCAAGATTAACCATATCCATCGTGCATTGATTATAATGCTTTTATCAAGTTCTTATACCTACAAATATATACCCACTTTACCAACTTTTTTGTTGAGTGATACATACAAAGTACCTACTAGTATATATTAGAGATGTTAATGAGAGCCTATCACGGGCATTTTAAATTACAATTCTAATATTGGTGTCAATACCTTAGACTTTTTTCTCTTCCAATTGTCATATTTTTATTCTCTTTTTCTTAAAATTTTAAAAGTCCTCCATGATTAAACTTAAGGTCAAGAAAGACGGGTTAAGGAAATTAAATAGTGAAACACATTTAGAGAGTGATTGATAATTTGTGGTCAGATGGTAAATACTCCTTCATTTTGCACACCTAATAGAAAAAAAAAAAAAAAAAAATTTAGCAGAACCAATAGAAACTACCAAAGGAAAAAAACGTAATAATTATTATTAATGTGTATTTACATACATTGTTATTCTTATATAATACATTTTCTATTACTTATGTGAATTTTTTTAACCTTTCACAAGTTTCAGGAAAAAATCAAAGAATTTGTGATCATGAAATGTCATAATATTTGTATGACTACACTTTTTTGAATCTTGTAAATTTAAATGGCCAAACACATACACAATCCCTCAAACTTGCCCTCATTTTTCATTTTGGCACTCCAACTTAGTCTTGTTCCATTTTAACCCTTAAACTCCATTTTTTCTGTACCATTTAAACACTTATATTAATTTTTATGATTTATTTTTATTTATGTTCTTCAATTGCAATTTCTTATTTTTTTTAAAAATAGACGTGTGCCTGTTAATTTTAGTAAAAAAATTAAACATTCGCGAACGAACATAAAAAATTTCAAACAATAATATTTTTTTTTTATATTTCTCTGTATTTTTGCATGAAAATAAATTGACGAAAGTTCTTTGATTTTATTTCTTAAATATTCAATTAAATTAAATAACACTACTTATTTATTTTTTCTTATCATCTAGGCTATCTAAATTTAACGCAAATACTCACTTTTAATGTTTAATATAATCAATACGAATAAAAAACCCATCTTCAAAAAGACTCGATTGACTTTGTTAATAACACTACTAAAAAAAGACTTTTGTTCATTGCTAATAACACTACTAAACAATGTTAAAACTCGACTGACTTTGTTAGGTTGTTGTTGATTTTAAAGAAAGAAAACCAACACAATTTCATAGGTTATTTTTCACACAAAAATCTGTAACACTCTTAAAAAGAAATTATTATTTTTTAAAAAGAATTATTTTTTGTTAATTTTTAATTTTTTAACTAAAATTAACTAACACATGTCGATTTAAAATAATAAGTTGCAATTGAAGAATATATATAAAAATAAAGAAATCATAAAAATAGTATTTCGTGTTAAAATGGTACATAAAAAATGGAGTTTAAAGGTTAAAATGAAACAAGACTAAGATAAAGTGTCAAAATGAAAAATGTGGACAAGTTAAAGGGGTTGTATATGTGTTTGGCCAATTTAAATATATCATATTTATTAGATTTTACTATTGTTTATTGTCTTTTCGATTTTAAAAGTAGAGTATGATTATAAAATATATCTTAAATTTTATTTAATTTTGCAGAGTTTAAAATATTTTTGATGCTTTTCCGTTTTTATAATATACGGAAAAAATATTTGAAGTATAGTAATTTGTAGTTATTCCGGCATTGGAGGTAAATTGGAAGGTATGGTGAGTGAGGTGGTAGCATGAATCGGTCTCAGTGTATTTCTTTCTCCACGCAAAGGGCACGTAGGTAACATTTTTTTTCCGATCGCTTTCCTTGTGACGCCGGCGAATAAAAAAGGAAAGCGCTGCGGAGATCATCAGAAATGTGGGTATTTTACCTGATATCGTTACCCTTCACCATCGGAATGGTGGGTCTAACGTTTTGGTACTTCGCCGGACCAGACGTACCTCGTTACGTTCGTTACACCGTCGGTTACACCTGGTTCTGCTCTCTATCTATCATCATCCTTGTTCCCGCCGATATCTGGGCTGTACGTTTTACTTTCCCTTCCCTTTTTGATCCTTGCTCATTTTCGACGACCGATCAGTTACATAAATTCTCAATATTTCATTTCGACCCGTTAGCTGGTACAGATGTAGCTGTAGCTTGGATTTGGGAGAGTACATAACGTATACAATATTGTGAGAATTCATCAGAAATTGATTAGCTTTACCTGACCTCAACCTAGCTTAATATGCATACTTGCATTATTTATTCATTTCTAGTAGACAAGGGTTTAAGCATTGTTCCTGTTTTGTGCAGACACTATCCAATCATGATAAGGGACAAATATCTTTCTTTTGGAGCTGGTCTTATTGGAGTACATTTTTACTCACTTGGTGCGTTACAATCTCTGATATTAATGTGGAACCTTATGCTTAATTCACCATCCTTGATTGCTTACTGAACTGCTTATTGAACTGCATTGTATTGGTTCTGAACATAGAAGAATGGTAGTACTTGAAGTGCATTGTTTTGGGTTTATCTTCTTTTTTTCAATAAATTTTTTGTTTGTGATCAGGACAATTGTTGTATTGTTAGCCTTTTGGGGGTGAAGGATTAACTTTTGAATTATTGACATATGTAGAAAAATACGAGTTTTTCTGATTAGTCATATGAGGAAAAGTACAAGTATTGGTAAGAGTATATGTATATGTACATCAATCTTTTCAGAGTTGGTCCACATTGAATTAAACACTGAAAACTCGCAGACTGCCACAGGCGTCTGATTTTGTTCAAATCTGTAAGTGGATGATCATTTTTTCTCGTACCACCTATATCAGTGCTCCTCAACTTCTTAGTCTTACCGGTAGTTTATCACATTAACTCATGGCTAAGATTTGGAAAAATATATGACAATGCTTTTGCTGAATATTTCATGATGGTTACAGTGTGATTTCTTTGTTCAGATGTACTCGTCAGCTTTCTTTATGGCTTTATCTGGTGCTGTTTCCTCTTTAAGTTTTCCAGTATTGGTTTGTAAAATGTTTGGTGTGTCTGTGGATACTTATATGCCCAGCTTCTCAGAATTTGACTCTCAAAGGCAAATACCATGCAGCATTTGGTATGCTCTACTGCGCCCATCCACCGGAAAAAGAATGCAACTCTAGAATCAGACCCCTCTCAAAACAGTCAAACCAGATGCCTAAGCCTTATATTTCTGTC